GAAAGGTTGATATTGTGCCCTTTGTAAGGAAATGGAAAAATTTGGAAAAAATTATGGTAAATGAAGTAAGTCAGGCCCAGAGAGAACCCATGTTTTCCCTTATATGTGGAAGCTAGATTTCACTTGCAAACTCATCAATAAATGTTTTATGGTATGCACATGTATACAAGTATATTAACAGAAATGCAGTAGATCCAAGGGAGATCTCAAATAGTGTAATTCCTTAGAAAGGCAAAACCAAAGATCAGCAAAATAAAACCCCAGGAAGGAGTGGGGTAGGGTGGGGTCAGGTCATGGGTGAAAGGGCTAGATGAATGAAGAGAAGAGGGGGGAGAATGCAGTCAAGAATCCAATGTATATCATACAAAATTAAGAAGAGTGAGGAAAGGGGAAAGATGGGGAGGGGAGAGGAGGGATGGGTGAGAATGTTGAAAGTGAGGGGCATTCATCAAGGTACATTGTACATTAACTGCTTTGTTAAATGGCAACCCCTTTGTGCAGCTACTAAACAATAATAAGAAAAAGGAAAAAAGTAATAATGAGCATCTGGACAATTAACATTCCATCTAATGCAGCCATGTTGGTTCTGTGGTAACATTTTACTGAATAAGCACCATACTTCCTGGAAATGCCAAGGACAATGCAAGATGTGCTCCACAGTTCCAGGATCCCAGAAGACTAGCAAGGCGCTTTGAGAATGAAAATTGGCAGAGGACTACATGCTTCTTTTGATTACTCTACTTCTGTTTCAGCTTCGTTCTGATTTCCTTCACCTCAAAATGCTAGCTGAAGTAGCTACGGGCTATTTTTGGGAAAAGGGGCCAGCCTAAAATGCTTTGTGCCCCCATTTCTTGCCTGACCTGGACCTCTCCTATTTATACCTCCTCTCCTTCAACTTCTGCAACTTATTAGTAGCTATTCTTTGCAGTGAAATGAACCACCTTGCAATCCCACCCTTACTAGCTTTAAGCTAGTACAGCTTCCTGAACTCTTGCTTGTCCTTATTCAAATGAGCTGAATTTTAATTTTCTTCAAATTATATTATGAAAAATATCCTTTCATATCCTGAAATCTTAGAGCTGGTTAAGAGCTCAGAAATTGCTTTTATCTATAGCCAGTCATGTTAAATGGATTGTTCCAGATCACAAGTAGATTCATGATACTTTATTCATTCAGTGAATGAAAAATTGAGGGACTGCTATGTGGTGGGCATCAGGCTAGAAGCTGGGAATAGAGATTGCACAAGGCACAGCCCTTCATCTTATCACCAAGGCATTGCCAACATCTTGTGGAAAAATGCTAAGAAAGCCAGACTGAAGGTCAGACATATTTCCTTTCTTGGGAAATGTTACTTTTAATATTTGCTATAACAATGTGTTGTTTTGATATTTGTACATGATGTGTAATGATCAAATCATGTTAGGTGACATATTTATCACTTTAGATATCATTTCTTTGTGCTGAGAACACTCAAAATCTTTTCTACGTATTTGAGAAATACTCAGTACAGTATTGTGGATCATGGCTAACCTACTTCTCTATAAAATACCTGAACTTACCTTAAAAGCATTCCCAGAAACTAGAGCTTCTAGGTAATATTTTAGTGGAACAATAAAAAAGTACCAGTCTTCTGATATGAGAAGTTTACGCTTGTTTTCCTGTTCACTAGAGACGGAAATTTACTTAGCTACATTTAAAGAAGGTTGGGGATCATTCATTTTCCTGACCTTAAGATGTGCAAGGATCCAACATCCAATACCAGCACTCTTACCCTGGAGTTGCTAGGAACTCCAGGCTCAAATTTGTTTTTGCTTTGTGACCTGAGTCACAAAGCGTAGGGGGATAAGGAGAGGAGATAGTATTACCACTGATGGCCAGTTGGAACTCAGTCACTCTTAAGAAGTCTGAAGGACAGTATGGAACATGACTGAGGATCAAAACTGTACCTGACATTTGAACCCCCCATCTCCATCACTGACTGAATGCCAATTTCAGGAACACTGGTACTTTAGTTTGCAAACCTGGCATGTATATCCAAAAACCACAAGAAGATTCCTCAGTGAAGCATGCATCCTTCAGAGCATGCAGACCAAGACCAAGGGCAAGAGGAATAGGTACAGACTACATCCAGCATACCGTACTTTCTTCAAAGTTACTTGTTTGATGTGGTGGTACCACAGCAGGAGACTAGAAACTGATTCTGTATGTTCATTGTCTGCATTACATGAGATACTTTCCCTCCCGTGGGGTTGGGGTACATCTCCATGGTCCTGAATCATCAGTTCCTGCTTAGCCTTGTTCATCCTTTGATCTTGCTAACTCCTGTTTACTGTCTCTCCGAATGTGCATTTGTAGTTTGCATTTTCTCTCTTAGTTAGCATTCTGGTGGAATTTTTTAAAATATGTATTTTTTATTGTAAAGGTACTGTACAGAGGGGTTACAATTACATGAGTAAGGTAATGAGTCCATTTCCTATCAAGCATTGTTATCCCCCTTCCTTTGGTTTTCCCCTACCTTCCCTTCCCCCCCTTATCCCCCCCCCACAACTCCTTCCCCACCCCCACCCGCACCAAATTGTAAAGTTCATTTTCAACCTAGTGTTTTGTATATGTCATTGTTACAATGGGTCAGTGGAGTTTTTTTTTTGTTTTGGTTGTAGTAGTCATTATTTTGTTTGTTTCATTTTTGTCTTTCTGTGCTTATGTTGAGGCTTTACGTTATTGTTTGGTTTTACCACTCACAACTAGTATTCTACCACTTGAGCCACACCTCCAGTCTAGCATTTTGCTGATTAATTGGGGATGCAAGCTTTTGGTGTTTTCTGCCCAAGCTGGCTTTGAACCACAGTTCTCAGATCTCAGTCTCCTAAAGGCATGGATGAATCTACCAATGCCTCACTCATGTTCTGTCAATTTTATCTTACTACAGAAGAGCTGTAATGTGCCTGCTTCCCTGACACAGAAACTGACATCCTGATAAGAATCCTAAAACTTTCTCCATATTTATCCCCCCTGATCAAGACCCCTTCCCACTAAGCTCGAGGTATATACCCTAATGTCCCAAGCTCTGACACGCACAAAAGAAATGTGGACTATCTGGTGTTCTGGAAACCTCTTTGCTTCTTGGGAAGCCAAATGAATCACCCTTCCATATCATTTATTTCTGTTATGTGACATGAAAATAGCCATAGCTGGCAGTAACATAGTGTATCCCTGTGGGATTTGGAAATACTAAATCTAACCAGGTCAATCACGCAAACAAGGAAGGAAAGAGTAGACAATGGATAAGGGTGGAGAGATGGAAGAGCAGACATAAAACTATAAAACCTTCTCTCTCTTGACTTTTTTCTCCTGTTTTATTTGTACTTGTCACTTTACAGAACACTAAATGATTTACTTGTTTTATAATTATGTTGTTCTCTCTTCCAGTAGATTATAAACTTCAAGAGAGCAGGTTTATTTTTAATTTGTTTTGTTCACTATTTGTTCCCCAAGCAACAACAATAAGAACAATAACCACAAAATAGTACTCAATAATCACTAAATAAATGCTTTTTAAATGAATGAAGGATCTCCACAACTCATGTAATCCTTCCAGACCTGCTCCTGAAAGTATAAAGGCAAGAGGAAGGGATTAGTTAATAAGCAAATGAGGACATTGGTGACACTTTTTTCCTTCTTTCGAAGCAGGGTTTCTGTATGGAGCTCAAGCTGACCTTAAACTTTCAATCCTTCCATCTCAGCCTCCCAAGTACTGGGGTTACAGATGGGCACTCCCATGCCTGGCTTTGACACCACTGTGTGCACCTTTTTCATAAGTTACATGTATATGTTCCATCTTCTCAACATTGAAGGCAGAGCAGTTGCTTTCCTTTCTATAGATTGGATAGTTGAGTTTGGACTATTCCTCAGTGTAAAATAGGGCTCTACTAAACATCTACATCCAGCTTCCCACTGAACATAAACCATTTCTGTCATTAGACAAATTTGGTTTTGAACCTGGCTTTTCTTGTCTTTTGCTATGGCCAAGAACTGGTTCAAGTCACCTCCTCTGAGATCCCCTTTCCAGATGAGAATTGTCTTGCTAAGTACACTTTTATGGAAAGAATAAATGAACTTGACTATCAGAAACAGTTTGCACAGTCACTGTTTAATAAATGTCAGTTTCCTCCCCCATCACTCCACCCCATCCACCTTTAAATCCCAGAGCTTTCCACATGCGTCCAGCCTTGGTGATCAACCCGATTCAGTAATAAACATAGAGGAGAGTTCCGTGGAGAGGCAGCAGTTCCAGGGCCTCCCATGGTCATGGGGAGTTTGGGGCAGGCTGTGCCTTGATAATATATGAGCTAGTGGTGAAAAAGCATCACTCCTGGGTTTTACTTTGATTTGCAGCCTTCCCTATCAGGCGTACATCCCAGTGGCCATCAGCACTCTGTCAGAGTTGGCACGGGCAGCCGGAAATGCTGCTGCCTCTGTAACTTTGGCAGAGTTTCGCTGAGAGCTGGGACCTGGAACAGAAAATCAAACCTCTTGATATGAGGCATGATATTGCCTCTTCCAGGCAAAAGAGGGGGAGGAAGAGAATACAGAGGCCTAAGCTTATGGGGGGGTGAGGAAAGGGAGAAAATGGGTGGACAGCAGTGGCAATTTAAGGTCACACAGCACTCTGTTATGTGAGCCTGGAGTAGATTCTGATAAAAGTGTATGCTGGTAAGTATCCAGAAAGCAAGTTCATTGTTCCTGGGCAAGGGTGCACACCTAGAAGGCAGGGGAGTGGATGGGAGGATGGTGAGGGAAAATGGATAGCATGAGAGCTTCAGAATCAGAAGTCAGAAGACATGGATTTCAGTTCACTTAAACAGGGGGGTAATTCACTCCCTTGCGTTCAGTCTCTTATGGCCATTCTCATGAGCTCCCTAGGAGTTCTGATTGAAAGCAGAATGGGATGGGATTCCACTGGGGAGTCAGGTTGGCTAAAAATCCAGTGTGCTTTCCAGGCAATAACAGCTTCCTGACCTGTATGGAAGATGGACTGTGGTCCTTCCCTGAGGCCCTGTGTGAGCTCATGTGCCTCGCACCACCTCCGATCCCCAACGCAGATCTCCAGACGCCTAGGTGTCATGAGAACAAACACAAGGTGGGCTCCTTCTGCAAGTACAAGTGTAAACCTGGATACCACGTGCCCGGCCCCTCCCGGAAGTCAAAGAAGTAAGTGGAGCTGGGAGCATACTCATGGGCTCTGGGATGGAGCAGAGGAAGACCTCTTCAAGAGGAAACTTTCTGCGGTTTAGTGCTAAAGGCAAGACCCATTGTGCCTCTCGTTCTGTTCTGCGCCAAGCCCACAGAAGGTTAGTTGTGGATCAAAGTGAGCTTGGCTGCAGATCAGCTGCGCACTCTCATGCAAGTGACGTCACTTTCCTGACCTTCACCAACATGAAGAAGACAATCAAAGTTATCGCCTAAAGTTGTGGTGAACCAGTGCCTTGAACATAGATGTTCGGCGTGATTGTTGATGTGATTGCTCATGTCACATGAGCACCCTCAGAGGGAAAAGAGAGGATGAAGGGGGTAGGGCTTGAGTGTTGTCTCACCCCATATGTAACTGAGAGGAAGTCCCACATCCCCATCTGCTTCTGCTGATCGAATTGCATGAGCGACTTTTCCTTATTTTGACATGTATTCCCTCGCTCAAAAGAATATGTAGAGAATCCTGGGTAAGAAAGAGAATTTGAGGCCATTTGGTAGTGTTTGGGGATGGGCATGGGCTTCGCTGTTTAATCTTTGAGACATCTTTTGCTCTATCTCTTTCTTGAAGACGGGCTTTCAAGACTCAGTGTACCCAAGATGGCAGCTGGCAGGAGGGAGCTTGTGTTCCAGTTACATGTGACCCACCTCCACCCAAATTCCACGGGCTCTACCAGTGTACTAATGGCTTCCAGTTCAACAGTGAGTGTAGGATCAAGTGTGAAGACAGCAGCAGCTCCCAGGTAAGCCCCGTGGGACCTGGGAACAACTAGAGGCCACACCTCCCATCTCCTCCCTTCTGCTTGCCCAAGACCAAGCTGGACCTTAATGACTGCTCTCTCCAGAATTTGGTCTGCACAGACCCAGGTTGTAAAATAACAATGCTATCACTGCATAAGTGGGGAAAAAAACCCTGGGTTCTAAATATAGTATAGTGGTGCACAGCTGTAATCTCAGCACATGGGAAGCTGAGGTGAAAGGCTCTGACATTTAATACCAGCATGGGCTACATTGTGCGATACTGTCTCCCCCTCTCCTACCCCTAAAATAATCAAGAAAGAAAGAAATTGGGCTCCATCTACAGTCTCTCCAAGTTTTGTTTTTTCTCCCTGTAATAACATGTTTTGTTTGTTCAGAGACCCTTAGCTTTGAACGTATTTGAACACTGAAATCCATCAGCTATGTATGGCATAGTTAGTCAAGGAAATCCTAGCATAGGAAATGGATAGCTTCAATTGCTCTGATAAGAGTGAGTGGAATGTTTGCTACTTTGCAGCCATGGTCAGAGTCCACATTGGCTTTGAAGTAGATAAAGGAGGCCCTGTCAGGTTAGAAGAGCTGATTTGGGAATGTGGTAAAAGAAAGGGAGCACCCCTGGAGCTTGCAGGGCTTGAATTTTATCACAAGCCACAGGTGACTGAGAAACAGCCCAGCACTCCTGCCTGCCTATGCTGAAGGAGCTCTGTGAGGGAATTTCCCCACATTCCTACACCCAGCCTGTCTGTAGACATTCACGCAGTAGGGGGGAAAAAGACCCAAAGAAGCCCTAAGTCTACCAAAAACTCCATCTTCTTAGAACCTACCACGTAAAACCAATAACCCAAGTCCTGGGGCTTACAGGGGTGCCAGGCATTTGCCATCTGAGGCTGGAGTAGAATCTCTGGGCCCTAGTGATAGTTTGGTCTTCAATGAGCTTTCCCATCTTCATTATTTATTATGCCTCCAGGTACCACGGCTAAACCCTTGCCCTCAACTCCTCTTTCTCCAATCTAAATCATACCATTCTCCAAAACATATTCTAAAGGTGCTCCTTCTGATCTCTCTGTCACCACACCCCAGCCCAGGGAGGTACCCATCATCTTTGTCTTGAGCTACCACGCAGCCTCTTGATCATTTCCCTTCTAGTAGTATTAGTTCTTGTGCTATACACTCTTCATGCACAACAGCCTTCCATTTCCCCTAGGACAAAACTCCAGATCCTACCTACAGCATTCTGCTTCTCCCCTTCTGTCCAGTAAAGCCAACTTGACCTGTCTGTTTCTTTCCTTCCAATCTGAGAAGCCTTCCCATCATCTCTTCCCCATCATCTCTTCCCCATCATCCCTTTCACTGCTTGGCTAGCACCCCACCAAAGGATCAGCCCAATACTATCCACAATCACATTGTCAGTGTGTTGACAATCCATTCCTCATCCTCACACTAGCCTGGGAAGTCCTTCACTGTCTCCAATCATCCCGTACCTTCAGTACTTCATACAGTGGTAGGCACCTAGTAAGTCCTCCTCTAGGGTCTCAGGAAGTGCCTAGTGTTAAGAGAACCAGAAAGGGCGGAAATGCACAATAAAGTCCATCTCCTCACTTTCCGGAGGAGAAAACCAAGACTCAGGGATGTTGTTCCCTCCCTGGGGTGAACACAGCTGGCATCAGCAGAGTCAGAATTAGAGCCCAGGTGACTCCAGCTGTCACCCGGTGCAAACCTCCACAGTGCACACTGGCAGGTGTCTGTGTACATTCACGGTGGCTGGTGTGCACCCCTGGGAGACATTGCCATCCTTGAGTGGTAGGGAAGGAGCTTCGGGGCCAGATAGGTGAAGGTCTGGATCACCACCAAGGCCTCTCACAGGCTTATCGACTCCCCTCTTGCTCCCTTACATAAAACTGTTGCTAACAGTTACCCAGACTGCTCAGCCAAATAACATTCTGGCTGTGGTCATGTTATCAAACTGAAACCCAGTCTGCCCCGGAGCCTGCCAAGTAACTTCCACAGCCAGTTTGTATTTAAAGGAGAGGAAAATGTAAATTTATCAGATGACTCGGCCGGGCGGGCGAGCAGGCGGTGCTGTTTGGCAGCTGGTAGAGAGAGAGTAGAGGCTAGACTGGAAGAAGCAGGGTATGGCTTGCTAGCTCAAAGAAGCAGAGAGCACGTGCCAAATGGGCTCCTAACACAATTGACGTTTCTAGTTTGTACCGAAAATGAATTTCCTCTACCCTCAGACCAGAGGCCTGAGAGCCAAAGCTAGTATTCACCTCAGATCCCCTCTGGCTGCCTATAAACAGCAGAAACTTACAGCCTGAACATCTTAAATCCAGCAACAGCCTGCATAGAGCAGGAAGTCTATGCTTTCCAAACAAGTTCCCAGATCTTGGCAGGAAAGGATGGGGCTGATTGTAGGGGAGATTCACAAACTTCTCCCCCACCATTCCCCTGCCGCAAAAACCAAATGAGTTTTCTTTTTAAAGCACTTTACTTCATTCATTCTGTGGGAGCCAATATAATACTGGGTCTGGAGCCTGAGTTGGAATGCTGACTTTACTACTCTCTACCTGGGGGGCAGGGCATGTTACTTACCTTTTTAACGTAATGACCCTGTGTGTGAAATGGGGTAGGGGAAAAATAATGCCACGTGTCTTATAGTTTATTGGTAAAGATTCACAGCCTATACAACCAGACATGGCATCCCTAGAGATGACATCAACAAACTAGATTTTTTTTTAAGGTCAGTCCAGTGGGCAAAATGGGTTTTTCTATGTAGAATACCAGAAGACATGAAAATAGAGGCAATGGATTGAAATTTGGCCCTCTGGATACTTCAGAAAGTTGGAGAACTAAGAACAGGCACTTATCTGGTATAAAGCTAGAGTGTAGTTGGAGAGACTATTATAAGCTGTAGTGAAACCTGGACACCTGCTCAAATAAACCTGTAGAATACATCTCCTCCCTGGGTCATCTAGACCAACCCCATCCAGGATAACTTCCTGATAGAAAGTCCCACACGTGGGTGTCTGTACTATACCTGCAGTCACATGTTGCTGTGAGTGACAGAGCCACTAAATATTCAATTGTACTTGTCCAAATTTAAATATAAGCACCATACTTAGCATCGTATGCTACTTATCTCCAGCATCGATAGTATTCCTGTCTCTCTAAACCAAAGTAGAGCCCCTAACTAATAATGGCTTTCTTTCTTTTAGGGTTTATTTGGGGAGGGGTGGGGGATGAGGAGTTTGTCAAACTAGTATTACAAACTCTTTTAATTTGAAAACTGATAACAAATTCATGAAAAAGAAAGGATATCTTCATCTTATAGATGTGAAAGAAAGCCAGGAGGCTAGATTCCTACCCATGTTGCTGAGTTAGTGGATAGTATTCTGACTCCACAGCCTACTCTTCCCCCTTGTCCCTAAACATCTCCAGAGTAGCCTGATGGCAAAGGGCGGAGATTTTTGTGTCCAGGTGTCTAGAGAGAAATGCTCATTGCCTTAAGACCTAACATAGTTCAGAGTGAGGTGACAGGGGATCACTGTAGAAGCTTTGCAGGTAACAGGGCAGTAGCCAGCTTTGCAATGGAGACAGGTTATGCAGAAGAGCTATACCACAGGAGGGGCTGGAGAGGACCGGGGCTTTCTGGACTACATCTGTAGTACACCTCATGCATTTCAACAACTCAGCAGGAGCAGAGAAAAGAAGGATGAGAGAATCAGCATACCAGATCCTTGCAGGGATGGGTCGTAGAGGGCAGCCAAAAGAACCTGTGTGCTACCTGGAGTGAGGAGCTAGGCCTTGCCATTATGGGCTCTGCCCTGATGCATCATAGCTCCCATGGGGTGGCAGGGGCAGTATCTTATTTTAGAATTGTTAAATATGTACACAAACATCCAGGGATGCCCAGAGGATGTCAGAAAAATTGCAGAGCCACACACTAATAGAGCCCAGCAGGACCTCAGACCACCCCCACTGCAACCCACTTACTTATTTTATAGATGAACCACTGAAACCCAGAAAGGAGATTCATACAAGTTACCAGCAGAGCCAAGATTCCTTTCCGTGCCTTTGCTACTCATTCTCCCTCCTGAGGCTGTCTTATCCTTACACCTTCCTTTGAGAAAGCAGATTGCACTTGAGAGTGTTGGTGGGGAACAGTTGATCGAGGCAGATGATTGACAGCATCTACATCTCAGTGAGCCACTCCTACTTTCCAGTCACTAGGCAAAGCACTCATATGAATGGCTGCATTTAAGCCCCCTGGCATCCACTTAGCTTAGTTCTGAAGTTCCCTGGAGACAGAGACATTATGACCTCAGCTAATCACAGCACAGTATGGTGGGGGTAGGAGAGTAGGCTTTACATATTTCCTTCCACTGACCACTTAGTCCTCATGGCAACTCTTTGAGATAAGAGTGTCCATACCTATGTAGCAGTCAAGGAAATGGGAGTGTAGAGAAGTTGAGGAACTTCCCCCAGGTTCACACAGCTGGGAAAGCTGAAGAGCTGGCATTTGAGCTGGGCTGTTTAAGTCCAAGCTCTTAACCCTTACATAGCATGGGTCTAAAACTCATTTGTTTCATTTCTTTACGGAGTCTCAGTTTTTAACTCTGTAACAAGGACATGATTTACCTTTTACTTGGTTGTTAAAATGGTTTTTTGAACACTGGGTATATAGTGTTTGATAATAAAACTTGTTAAGTGCCTTAGGCTTTCTGTGGCCCTTTTTGGTTAAAATGGTAGGGAAGTTTTAAAAAGAAAGTTCAGATACAGAGGCACAGAGAGGGGTTCAGTCCTCTGACAGGAAATTTGACTTCAGCATGCAGAATTTAGTTCCCTGATAATGCCTACAGAAGAGGTCCTGGGCCTCTCAGATTGTGTGCTAAACAATGTGTGCTCAAGCAAGATCCAACAAAGGCAAGCATCCCCTCTGCCTCATGAGGTTGGCAGGTGCTGAGGGTGCCAGGATCGAATCTCAAAGGAGGAGCTGAGTATCTGGAAGCCCAGAGCATAGCACTGGCAAAGGGGTGTGGATGGGCAAGCAAGGGCAGTGCCCAGCAGAGAAGAGGCCAAGAAGCAGAGTATCAATGTCACAGTAGGTTTCATTGTAGAAGCCCTGGAGAGCTGGCCTGTGATCGTGTTTTGTTTAAAAGGCTTGGGATGTCTTAGCAGAAACATGCCATACTTTCTAAAAGTTGGATTGTTGCAGCATGAAGTGCTAGATGAGCCAAACGAGGGAGATGTGTGGTGGAGGGAGGTGGAGAGAGAGACAGAGACTGGAAACCTTATTCTCCTACCTTGTGTGGTGTGTCTTCCCCCCTTAGAGCTCCCCAAGCAGACTCCAGCTAGTTCTAATACATTCTCTGCTGCTAACTTAGCTCCTCAGCCAGCTCTGGCCCTTGGAGTGCTGAGGTCTGCAGCCCTTCAGCGGCTGGAGGCCAAATGCATCATAGGCCCAGGCCAAGGCTCCAGGAAATTGGGGTCAATTTCCTACTCCCTTGAGGGCCCAGCAGAATCATGGGGCCTGGAGCCTGGGGCTCCAAGAGGGAGAGTCTGGGTTCACACACACACACAAACACATAAAGCTGTATACGTTTGCCACTAGCCCACATCAAGACACAGAAAGTGACTTTGTGAGTTATCCCATAGCTGGGTGTTCAGTGTAGGTGACCTCCCCTGGCTAGCAGACAGTGTTTTCCCCCCTTCCTCCTGCAATGTCACCCTTCTCCTGCTGGCCTGGAAGAAACTGAGAGAGAGGCCCCCCTTCTCCTCCTCTCAATCCTGTCTTCTTGCAGCTGTTTTCTCAGTCAGGGCATTTCAGCCTGAATCAGCCTCTTACAGATTATATTCAATTCCTCCTCACCACGTATTTCCTCATTAATTTCTCCATTGATTTCCTCGACTGTACATTTTTTTATTTTCTTTAGAAAAAAAAATCATCAGAGCTGGGCACCCGTGGCTCACACCTATAATCCTAGCTTCTCAGGAGGCTGAGATCTGAGGATCACAGTTCAAGCCAGCCCAGGCAAGAAAGTCTGTGAGACTCTTTTCTCCAATTAACCACCAGAAAACCAGAAGTGGTGCTATGGCTCAAGTGGTAGAGCTCTAGCCTTGAGCTAAAGAGCTGAGGGACAGTGCCCAGGCCCAGAGTTCAAGACCCATGACCAACATACACACATAAAAATCACTCTCCACTTATTCTTACCATTTTTATTAGACAGCCAATTCTTGAATAAACAAAAATATCTATGGGGAGATGAATGGACCAATGGCTAGGCATGGTAGAAGGCACTGCTGGGGAGGATGAAGGAGACACCATCCAGGCTTTATAGGAGAAGAGGGGAGAGAAGGCAGTCAAGAATTCAATGACTATCCTACGAAATTAAGAAGAGTAAAGGAAAGGTGAGGAAGGGAGGGATGGGTGACAATGTCAAAAGGGGTGACACTGATGTTCAAAAACAGCTTTGTTCAATGGCAACTTCTTTGTACAACTACTTAAAGATAATGAAAGATGAGTAGAAGTCAAACACCCTTGACTAGCTAGGGAAAAAAATGGTAAAGTCAGGTAACTACCATGTCCAAGACTTTGAGGCAATGCGTTGAGCAGAATCTGGATGAAATTAGGTCAGCAATGGATGTGCCAGATCCTCTGTTTACCAAGTACAGGGAAGTGAGGAAAAAGAGAAGAGGGCTGGGTGGGGGATGGGGAGCAAGCCTAAAAGCAGGACACAGGAGGCTTTAGGACTGAAGGAAGTTGAAACTAAAGTTCAGGGTTCGTGATGGTGCTGTGGCCAGCCAGGAACTTAGAGAACTAAGCAGAAGTAAGGCTGGCGGTGGGGGAGGAAGGTTTTCAGGGCACACATAGGTGGCTGAATAGAAGCTGAAGATCATAGGTAGCTACTCTCTGGTGGTTCTTATTGGTGGAGCGATTAACCTCACATGAACGTTCTTGTCTTATTTTAAGCCTCACAGAAGAAGGTGAATATATAATGAATATATAGCTTCTTCTGAGAGCTCTCAGCAGATAGACCCCTGCCTGCACTGAAAGCATCCATGATTCTCCATTTCCTTCAGGTAGAGACCACTCTCCTTTAGCTAGCATATAAGTACCCCATAATCCTTTGCTCTACCATCTGCTGCCTTCTTCCCTGGAGGCAGAGAACCAGGAACATGCCTGCCTTTCCTGTGTTCACTGTATGGACTTGCATTTGTACATGCCCTTCTGTCTTCTAGGCATGTCCCGCCATTCTGTGTCTGCCTGTGAACTCTCTATCCCTGAAGACTCTTCTGTAAATCACCTCCTCTGAGAGGCCTTCCTGGGTTGTACCATCACAATCTTTCCCAGTACTCATGGCCCTAGGGCCATGTTTGCCTTTTCTCCGTGAGCAATCACATACAGGACTGCTCTCAGGACTGCCTTTCCACCGGCTCATAAGACACATGCTGGTTTTCCACAAAACTGGGCACACAGTGGACACGAAAGAGATATTTTTTAATTCGGAGGCGATTCTGAAATATATATGTTGGCGTCTTGCAGGCTGGCAGGGTCTTGAAAGAAGGGCCTTTGTCTTCAAGCTGCCTTTGCCTACTACTTTGCAGAAGACCAAGATAGAATGTGTCACTCATCTCAAAGAATTGTGAGGGGAAGATAGAAATATCCTCATACCGGCCTCTTGGGTCCATTATTACTAGAAGTAAAGGGAAGGACAGGGAAGAGAGAAGCCCTTGGAAGGCAGAGTTTCACACTTGAGCATGTCAGGCAGAATCATGACCTAAGATGTTTCCTCATGAGCTATAAGGGTACAAGCTTTGGTGTGTATATATCTCCTAATGATCAGCCTCAGGACACACATGCTTGCCATCTCTATAAGTACAGGACTGGACAGGCTCTTACTATCTCAAACAACAACAACAATAACAAGTAACACAAATCAAGCTGTGATGGCTCTGATTGAAATTTCTGAAAGACTTCTAAACTAAGAATTAGGGAAACTGGGCGTTATATTGTCTGAGCATTCTGGAGCAAGTTTCTTCCTGTTCTGAGTCCTCCTCAGCTTCTTCATCTGTAAAGCTACCAAAAAAAAATACATGTTTTTCAAGATGACTGAGTTTCAGACATTGTCAACTAATTATTTTGGAGTGATTCCAGAGCTGTGGAGAGATGAGAAATTGTTCACTCTCCTTCTGAGAGACAGGCGGGTCTTGTTGGCAGATGGGATCTGTCTTGGTCCTGACTGTGTGTCTGTCTTGGTGGGTCTGTCTTGGTCCTAACTGTGTATCTGTCATGTTCAGGGACAAGGAAGCAACATCATTCACTGCCGGAAAGATGGTACCTGGAGTGGCTCCTTCTATGTCTGCCCGGAGATGCAAGGCCAGTGCTCAGCTCCAAACCAGCTCAACAGCAACCTCAAGTTGCAGTGCCGTGATGGCTATGCCATAGGTATGATAGGCCAGGAGGGTATGGGAAGCAGTGGTCAGGGGGACATCTACCCAGGAAAGCAGGTGGACCATGCGAAGCCCTTGCATAGGCAGGTGGGAGACAGAGCAGAAGGAGACTGGGATGGTCGCTGTTCTGTGGGGGTGGGAGTGGAGCAGAGAGGTGCGTGGGAAGGACAGAGGTTCAAGGAAGGGATGTTCGTTGAGGGAATGGTGGGCAAATATGGATGGTTTTGTACAGGAAAGCTACTGGTTATCTAGCAGGACACAGAAGGCTCCTAGAGGAAGCGGTGTTTACTAGGGGTTTGAAACAGGTTGTCAGGCAAAAGATAGTGAGGGAAAGAGAGAGAGAGAGGAAGGAGGGAGGGAAGGAGTGAAGGAGAGAAGAAGGAGGAGACTGAGGGAGAGGGAAAGGGAGAGGGGGAGGGATCACAGGATCAAGAGAAAAAGAAAAGGGGAGAAGGGAAGAAAGAGAGGAGAGAAGAAGAGAGAAAAGGAGTATAGGGGAGGAGAGGGGGCCATGCTACAAAAGAGCAGACATATTCCTTGTGCCTATCACCCAGGGTGATCCTGGAGGAGGAAGGAGACTTCTACTATTAATCACAGAAGTTGCATCATACTATGCATCCATGGGTACCTGGTTTGTATCTAGCCAGGAACTTGCCCCAGGTCCTGAGACTTAGCCTACTCCAGAGCCTGCCTTCTTTCCATGGCATTTCAGCTGCCTCTAGAGGAGGAAAACTAGCTTTTTCAAAATTCTGTCTGTGTTGTGATAGCCAGGTCAAGAATTGGGGAGGGGGAGGGGTGGGGGGACAAGCTGGGGCCCAATGCCAGGGCTTTTCTTGGTCAAGACCAGGCCCTGGGACAAGATGCATTCATCACCAGCTCCTCAGTTCTCTGGGGAAACTCAAAGCCCATGAAATCTGACCCTTATTGAAGGGCAGAAATGTTGACCTCTTGAGCTGATTCCCTAATTGATCATGATGAAGACCCAGGGAATTGAATGTCCTTTCTCATGCTCAGCGTGATTTATGGGGCAATCTCGAGTGCTGTCTGGCATAAAAGGTTATCTGAGCATGCATGGAGCTAGCTAGCATCCTCTTTACTCAGCACACCCAATGTTGTCACTGTGTGTCCAAGAGGAGAGGCCTGTAATGAGAGAGCAGAGGTGCCTGGAGACTTATCACCAATGCTTGAAGATGGGACCACAGAAGCTCAGAGAGCAGAAGTTTTTCCTCTAAAGGCAGAACAGGAAGCAACACCATTCCCTTTAGTCTGGGGCATGTGCTCCTAGCCAGGGTAAGAATATCAAAGCGCATGTTAATTCAGACTATGCAGAGTGAATTTTATGATTTTATAAAGCCACCAATACATAGGACCCTCCCCCACCCCCCGCCCTTCTCAGGCCAGTCATGGAAAGAAGAGATCCTCCAGTCATAGGGCCCGACAGCACTGGCATTCTAGAAAGTTTGGGGTGTTGCCATGGTGAGCAGTATGGGCTACTCCATTCCAAAGCCAAGACTTTCCCTCTGCATCCTTGGTCATGGGTGTGCATGACACCGACCACATATGTTTTAGAATAGTCTCGAGAGACAGGAAGAGTGGGTCATGGTGGCATGCTTTTACTCACTGAAATCTGTACGATGTTGGAACCCCATGAACTTCCTAGCCCTGATGCCATGTTTCCAACCAAGGCTACCTGGACTCCTATCCCATGAATATGATAACCCAGGATGGGTGCTGGGTAGAGAAGAGATGGAGAGAGGGGGGCGGGGAGGGAGGGTGAGAGAGAGGAAAAGAGTCACAGGGTGAAAAGGAGGACAGAGAGAATAAAGAAGGAAAAACAAGTAGCCCTCCCCACTCCTCCTTCACCTCTAAACATACCTCCTCAACCCTTCCCTGGGTGGAGGGAGCCCCCTTTACCAGAAAGAGAGGTTTAATCAGAGACCTTGTAAGCAGACAAGGTATGTATCAGACTAGGGGTCTGGAGGCACCAGGCAGCCTTGGGTGGCAGTCATGAGCCCTCAGAAAGTCCCTGCTACTGCTGCCTCTGTGTGTGTGTGTGTGTGTGTGTGTGTGTGTGTGTGTGTGTGTGTGTGTGGTGGGGGAGGCGGGAGCTGGTGAGATCACCATTCTGTAATGGTGCCAATTATGGCTCATATATCACAACATAGCAGCCTTGGTACTGAAGCCTTAGAACAAGGCCTGGAGGAGGAAGGAGACCCGAGAGGGATGAAGGGCTCCCATCTAGGACAGCTATACCACCTGTTTCCACCGTGTTTTCTCTTCTGTCAACCCCTCCCCTCCACCCCCCCCCCCCGCCATCTCTTAGAATAAGGCAACCATTATCATTTAGAAGATACATCTCTTTTTTTTCTCCCCAAAAGAATTCTATCCTCTTCACTCACCACCTTGTTTCATTTTTGTTCCCTGAAAACTTTATAACCAGTCCCATGACAGCGCACTTAGTGCTACATTTCTCTGACTGCTCAGTAGTGGTTTCCCCTTATTCTCATTACTCATCTTTTTTTTGTCTTCTTGTGTTCCTTCCATTTCCTTTCTCTCCTCTGGTCCTTCATCTGTCTCTGTGTCCTACCCTTCCCCTCTCTTCTCTCTGTATGGCTATACCTTTACCCCTCCTTGGGCCTTGAAGCCAGGAGGCACATGCGGCTCTCGGCTGGTCAGCTCTATGCCTTTAGGCGTCCTCATCTACGAAGCAGGTGTGATGACACTGTCTCGTCCTCATCCATTTGCACACTCAACGGCATTGTCTCACTCATTTCACAGCTTTCACCTATTGAGTGTCTGCATCTGCCATACCTAGCTGCAGGTTCTCCGCACAGCATGGGGAGCAGAGACAGTGCTGGCCCCACAGAGTTCCACATAGAGAAATGTCAGAATGTGACCGATACCATGATGGCTTCCTATGAGGGTTTTGGCAAATCTGGAAACCAGGGGTATTTCCTGAACAAGTGACACTTGGATGGAGATTGAGGGTCATTAATAATGTGCAAGAAGCAGAGTCTGGAAGGCTCAGGTGATTTTGCAGGGGCTGAAACATAGTGGAGGGGAAAGTGTGGGATGAAGAAGCTGGCGTTACATGCATGTATTGCTCTCATCCTGTAATTGTCACAGAGCTCTCTCAGGGTGTCAGGCTCTTGGGCAGACACAGAGAGGCATCACTAACACTCTTGTCTTCCAAGGACAACACTAACTGTGGAGACGAGGCTCAGCAGGGAAGGAAGGTCCGCTGGAGGGAGGCCCATCAGTGCCCTCACAGAAGTAGAGCCAAGGCAATAGGCATTTGGAGGGGGAGTGCTCAGTCAACTGCCGAGACAAGGCAGCTGTTTGGAGCGCTTGATTTGTGCCTCGAAGAACTGATAGGATCTGGTCATGAGAAGGTAGATGGGGAGATCTGAGGTGAATGAGAATTTCTGTTGGAGATGGGAAAGAGTGGGGCTCATGCAAAGCCAAGCATAGCCCAGTTCCATTGCACCAACCAAAGCATGAGGGTGGTGAGTGGAAAGGAGATTAACCAGACCAGGCAAGCTGACTTGGTCCTGAATGGGTGTGGGGCCGGGACTTGGGGGGGGGGGCGAGAGGGAAAGGGGTGTCACTGGAAAAGTTTTGGAGAGGAGAAACCTGTGGCACTGGCCGTCACCTGTCCTGAAGACAAGTGAATGGAATCAGGAACACTCTAGGTAGGCCTGCAAAGAGAGCACTAAGGTTGGGACACCTAAGTTGAGTCCACTGGCATCAGCTTACAGCAGGCTCCACCCAGAGGAAGGGCAACTTGTGGACAATGGGAGCTGAACCACTATCTTTTTTTTTTTTGTCAGTCGTGGGGCTTGAACTCAGGGCCTAGGTGCTGTCCTTGCACTCTTTTGCTCAAGGCTAGCACTCTACCACTTTGATCCATCATACTACTTCTGGTTCTCTGGTGGTTAATTAGAGATAAGAGTCTCACAGACTTTCCTAGCTGGGGTGGCTTTGAACCATGATTCTCAGATCTCAGCCTGCTAAGTAGCTAGGATTACAGGTGTGAGCCACCAATGCCCAGCTTGATCCACCATCTTGTACATGCTTCTCCTCAGGGGCAGAGTGTACCACCTCGTGCCTGGACCACAACAGCGAGTCCATCATCCTGCCAGTGAACGTAACTGTGCGTGATATCCCCCACTGGATGAACCCTACACGAGTGGAGGTGAGTGACCAGGACTACCCGCCTACAGATAAAGCAGAAGGAAATGTGGCTGCTAAGCATGTAATAGATCGGAGCCCTAAATTCATCCCTTGGCCTATATTAATCTCATTTAATCAGCATACCTGCCTGCGTGGGCGGGACTTATTCACAAATGATTTCTCCGGATGTCTCATCCAATCTTGTGCTAAGAGCTTGTTAATTTATTGTCCCACTGAATGGTGATGACCGCAGAGAATTGAATCCTGATGTCCTCGTTTACAAGGTGAGGACATGAAGGCACCAAGAACACATATATAGGAGCCACAAAACAGATCACAGACTAGTGTCTGTCTGACCATAAAGACTACACTCAGAAGGATGGGGTTATTTGCATTCTCTATGGTAAAGCTGGGCTGGCTATCTAGAATCTTTTTCCATACTTATTTCATAGAAACAATGATATGTGCTATTAACTACAGGGGAACGAGTCACATTTAGTGTTGATGGAGCATGTACTCTGCTCAGGGGCCTGGCACTTTGCATGTGAGATCATACATAGACTTTCAACCATGGTAGGTGGTGGGGAAGGTTAGGGTCATGGACAGCAAAATCTTAGACACAGCCTGATAATAGCTTGGACCCAAACCTGAGTCCACACCCTGTCCGCTGCCATGGTGCAAGATGACTCTAGAGGACCTAGCCTTGACTTTGAGGTTGGACATTTTCTCTTTTCCTGTGTCCTATAATCAATTGACCCCTTTCTTTCTCTCCCCTACCCTACCCCCTCTCGCCCCCATGTTCAGAGCAACTGTGAGACTCTAGTTCTCCAGAACAGCACAGCTCCTGAGTATCCTGCTCTGACTCTTCACCTTAGTGAACCCAGAGAAGATAAGAGCAACGGGGTGGGCAGGCGAGGTTCCTCTGTATGTCTGTCCACTACTAGCGTTTCTGCCTGGGGGGAGCAGCTATCATCTGCCCGCTTGTTGCAGATCGAGCTCAGGATAGCTGAGCAGAACCTGATACAGGGTGTATAGTTTCTCAGATGAGTTGAGGGCAGTGCTGGGAGGGCTTACTCAGCGCTTTGGGCATGTGGAATTGGCAGAACCCCTCTGCCCCTACCCTAACCTTCCCCTCTCCTCCATCCCTTTTCCACTTGCTCTTCTACGGCTGTCTTTTTTCTTTCTCTTTGTCTCTCTCCAACTTCATTTCCTTTTATCCTACGTTTTGCTTTTCTACTCTCTATTTTTCTCTCCCCACCGATACACCTTGTTCGGCTTCCGTCCCCACCAACCTCTGTTTGGGATTTCCTCCCCAGCCACACTTTCCCACAGCCTGCTTTCCTAACTTCAGGCTCTTTCAGCTCAAGGTGCCTTTCCTCATTCCTAGTTCTGCAACCCCATACAGATTTCCCCCCAAATCCCCATGCACGTGGATGTGTGAAGCACTCTCAGGAGCAGACAGAGTCAGTGTCAGACTCTCAAGGCAGTTACAGAGCACCAAGCAGAAACCCTTCTGTGTAGGTAGACAGGAACTGAGGAGCGCAGGATGGCAGGCCAGGATCATGGGTGAGGACAGCTAGGCCTACCAAGCTGGACTCAGGGTCGGCAATTCATTCCATCTCCTTCTACCCACCCACCTCCCTTTTACCCCAGGATGGATGAGTGTCACTCACTCCCAGGGGTGATCTAAGAAATCACCGGGCTGCTCCAGTACCCAGGCTCTTGTTGGCCAGGCCCAGCTTCCATGTGAGGCTTCTTAGACTCTTTAAGTGAATTCCCACCCACCCCCTTTCTCTTTGTGAGCCCCGGGGCACTAAAGAGTTCAGTTATAATTCACTGTGAAATAAATCCGGGGGATTTGAAAGGCTGCAAGCCACCCACCCCCACAGTCACCCACCCGCTGCCTGTCCCTTCCCAACCCCCACCCAGATCCCTAGCCTGCCTGCCTTTATTGATGCTGGTCTACTGAGAGAAAGCCATAACGAGGTTCAGACCTCCACCAGTCTCTGGAGGCCTCATTATCCAGGAGGAAAGAAAAAAATGTAGAGAAAGGGAGGAGGGCGAAGGGCATAGATTGATGGTTTCCAGGAATAAGGCAGTAGAGCCAGGGATTGCTGCAAAGTAGACTGCTGGTGTAAGGTACGCCCAGCGCCCCCCAGCCCCCTGGAGCCCCTGGACAGCTACGCTGCCTTCTCAGGGACCTTCTAGCTCCAGTGAGAGGGCAATGGCCAGGAGGTGGCTCAGTTCCAAAGCTGGCTACCTTCTTGCTAGAGCAACACTTAAGGGATGCCTGCTGTGAGCCGGGACTTGCAATCCGTGGCTCCATTGCTCACACCCTCCCCTGTCCTCCTCCTCCCTACCATCCCTCCCCCCATACATATTAGCATCTTAGCCACTTGCATAAGACAGTGAAGGGAGATATCACTCACCTTCCCTGGGCCAGCTTAACATGATAGTTACTCTGGCTCCCACCCTACTGAAGCCCCTAGGAAATGAAGAGCAACAACAAAGGCCTTAGACTGATGGCTCCAAAATTTTAAACAACTACCATCACGCGCGCGCGCACACACACACACACACACACACACACACACACACATACATCCCCTCTGATTTGTAGCATCTGCCAATTTCCATGGTGTAAATATTCACACAACTCATCCCTGAACACAAAAAGGTGGAAAGAAACAGACACGTAGTACTGTCCAGTCTGTGTGGACTACCTGCAGCCCACCATTGACACTTACCTGTGATGGACTCTATTTTAAGACATTCTACATAGCCACAGGCCCAGATAGATGAGTGACTATCTACATGAGGTCAGGATTATGAATCGTGATTGTCACATTAGAACAGTGAGCCCGTGTGGGAAGAACCACAGTCATCTTATTTACCTCCTTCTGCCCAGCACACAGTAAGTAAGCCATTCAGGAAATAATAATGATTGCCAGAGCAGATGGCCAAGATTCTAGTCCAAACCATTGGTCCTTCCTGCTGTGTTTTCTGGGGACAAATGTGATTGCTTCTCTAGGACAGCTTGCTCATTTATGAAAGAAGAACTTGGCCTTTGTTAGGTGACACATTCAAACAGGTGTGATAGGTAGGCTTATTATCCTATTTATTAAATACCTGTATATCTTACCAATGCTAATAGTTATAACATCAGATAAACTGACAGAAAGAGATAATATACCTATATGCCTATACCCAACTTAAATAAAACTACAGAGTAACTTCTTTTGCTTTCCTGAAATATAACTTCCATGCTAATGTGAAGCATACAGCTTATGTCTAAAGTTCTTATATACATGTATATATTATATCTGTATATATATGTGTGTGTGTGTGTATATATATATATATATATATATATGCTTCTGAGCACACTATCATATCAGAATTTGAACCCTTCTGTCTCACAGGGAATCCTCCCCTCCCCCTGCCAGGCCATGCCTCCATCACCAAGGTAACCAGTGTTTTGGTCTCTATCTCTATAGATTAGTTTTCCTTATTTTTAGCTTCTTGTAACTGAAATCAGTGCAAATGTCTCATGAGCCTCTTACATAGGCATATTTTTAACTTACACCAAGAAAAACACTATATCCATTCTTTGCTTGTTTTTTGCTAGGTTAGCCCACTCTCAGTCCCCCTCCTCACACATACATTTTGAAAGAGAAAAAAGCTACCAAAAAAAAAACCCCACCTCTTTCTGTTTTGGACTAAAGGAAGGAAATGCAAACTCTCAAGTATAGGTAGAAATATTCTTCAGGGCTTGGTACTTGAGAGACCTCAAAGATTGGTAGGGACTGTGGTGAAATATGAAAAACATCTTATTTTTTTTTCTTTTTTGGCTATTCCCAATAGCAGGCAGATAGCTCTAGCCAAGGGCAGCAATGTGGAAATGTGGGCCTAGTGTGACCATGTTTTCTATTTTTTTTTCCTTGAGCACAATAAATCTGGAGTTTTTCAAATTTGAAGTCTCTTTCTTTGCTTTTAATATTGGCAAACTAATTTTGACCTTTTCTAGCACATGTATGTGCCAAAGCAAACATTTCTGTGGATTGTATGGCCCGGGAGCTTGCTGGCTTGCAACCCTTCAATGTGATGGGCTTGGATCTTTCTGTGAGATCCAGCTTGGATTGCTTGTAACCAGGAGAAGGAACAGTCCTCCGTCCACTCCTGACAAGAACTTCCTGTCAACTCCTATGGTGCCTCTGGCTCAGAGAGATCAAGAGAACTCCACAATACAAGATGTAGCCTTCATCCTCAGAAGCATATAATTCATCTACGTAGTTGAGCCTTTGGCTTCTGAAATTAAAAAAAAAAGCAGAATGAAAGAAGAGAAAAAAGAAAGAAAAAAAGAGAAAGAAATGGAGGTAGATAAAGAGGGAGATGAGGAAAAGGAGGAGGAGAGAAGAGAAGAATGAAATCGGAAGGAGTTGACTATAAGAAAGGGACATGATCATTGACAGATTATGATATGATATGTTTGCTTGGACACTTCCTTGTCTGCCTTCTCACCGGGTTCTCAAACTCTAAGAAGGTAAATTCTTTCACCATGTTGCAGACGGAGCTATGGCCCAGAGATGTCATCACTGTCCAATTCACATAACTAATGTGGTTGAATTTAGCTGCATGAATTTCAGGACCATTCTACACATTGAAAAATAAACCTTTGCAGCATATATACACAGAGTTTGCAGAAATCTGTCATTGTAAAGGAAGATAGCATTACTATCTTCCTACCTACCCTGCTAAGACTCTAAAGTCATTGGTGCCTAGTACATCCTGGCTGTCTGATGTACAGACAGAAATATTAAAATATTAAACATATTAAAAACTCTGGAGAGGAGGCTGTACATGAAGAAATGCAGAATCTACTGCTTGCTTATCTACTGGTAAACACACACATACCTCCACTCACCAGGTCATGTGTTCATTCGATCACGTATTCAACTATGTGCCTCTAGTTGGCAGATATTGTTTATACACTGAAAATACGTGTGGATGCTCAATGACTGAGAACAATAGACAAAAATAATAATGCTAATTGATATGATTTACTCCTGGCTATCTTCTCTGAGCCATCTCTTTTGGATTCTTTCCCTTCCTACCATATGTCCCCCAAACCCATCCATCTTTTCAAACCTTTATCTTTCCATTGATCCAAAGAGAAAGCTCTCAGTTCTTATATCTTCAGAAGCTAAGAGAGTTTGAAGGAGATTATAGGGTTCCAAGCATAGAACTTGAGTTAGGTTTAATTGCTGTCATTGCCGGTCTCCATGATCTGGGGCAGATTGTTTCACTTCTCAGTGCCTTGGTTTCTTCTTGGGGTAGGGAAGAGACAAAAGTAATACCTACCCCATAATTATAGTAAGAAGTCATTGAAATGACAGCTCTGTGCACAGAGACGGAGAATGGCAGTCGTACTCCAAGGGGTTTTATACGATGATGCTGAGGATCATGGTGCTAGTGTTGATAGCAGTGATGATCATTTGATGGCGGTGGCAGTGGGGCTGTGGTGACGGAGATAAAGGAGGAGGAAGAAATGGATAACAGCAGTGGGGGTAGAAGGAATTGGGGTGATGTATTGCTGTTGCTGTTGCTGCTGCTGGTGGTGGTAATGATGCCGATACTGTTACAATGATGACAAAGAGAGCCTTGAAGAAAAGACACTCCATTCTTCCTTCCCACCAAGGTGGGAGATGAAAGCTGTCTTACACAACCTGGATTGCAAGGCTCTGATTGGACTAAATATCCTTGGCATTAGAAGGAATAAGGCCGATAGGTGAGGGGCCCAATCAGGGATCTTGGAACTTGTGATATAAACAGCCTGCTCTTTCCTTCCATTTCCATAGCCTGTTCCCTCTCCCAATTCCCCTAGCACACAGAGGGGCCCTGTAGTAAGAAAGGTGGGGTGAGCAGCCCTGAGTAATAGTGGAAAGTTCAGAAGCCTTGGAAAGATAAATAGGCTCATGCAGATAGTATAAAAGTTCATTTTCTGGACTCACGTCAGGTAAACCTCAACCACACCAAGAAACTCCTACACATGTATTAACTCTGGACCCTGAACCTACCCTTTTTCTACATCTTAAGTCTTTTCTAAATTCCCCTCAACATCATTGGGTTTGGGCTAGGAATAGACCTCAAACTCACAAAAACAAATCAGGTTAAAGCTATTGGTGGATGAAAGCAGGTGGGTTGTTCAACGCCGGTCCCATGATTGGAAGCAGCTGGGAGGAAGAGGCTGAAGACTGCTCATGTTCCTTCATATGTGCTTCTTCCTTGTGTTCCCTACCTGCTCCCTGATCCTGGAGCAGGCAGAGATGTCTAAAACCCAGGACTTGCCCTCAAGAAGATTAGAGAAGTGGTCCAAGAAGCCACATACACATCCATCTATCTCAGTGCAGTGTCACAAGAAACCTGTGAACTATCACAGGTACCCATTTCCCAGACAAGAGAACAAAACCTCACCATGCCATTTGACAAAGCAATTTTTTAAATAAGTATTGCAACGATTCTACTTCAACTCTAATGGCTGGTTTATCATGGTGGTTCATGCCTGTAATCCCAGCACTCATGAAGCTGACATAGGTGCATTGCCAGTTTGTGGCCAGCCTGAGATACACAACAAGACCATGCATTATAAAACAAACAAAAATCCTATTGCTTTGCCCATATATCACAATGTATCAGGAGACGATCGTCAATGTTCATAGAGGCAGTACGGAGCTAGATACTTGACATTGCATTGTGACAGAGACTGGGATATTCTCAGGGTACGCTCTTTGTTCAAGATCTTATTTGATCCAGCCAACACTATGCTCACCCTCTAAACAGGATGCCATGTTTGGCATAGCACATGCTCTTCTGATGCTCTAGAAGAGAGGAAGAGAAGTGGAGAAATTATTGAGCCTTAGTAAAAATCATCATTATTTTGAGATGGATCTCAGTAAATATTTACTGAGCATCTCTGTGTACCAGGTACTGTTGCACACATGGGAGATCCAAAACAGGAACATGACATGTTGTGGAGCAGAGAGGAAACACATGCAGCTTGGTCCGTCCTAGCCTGGAGTCACGTGACTGCCTTAATAGTCACAAGCTTGCCAAGAAACCCAATTACACTGTGGCTGTCCTATAAGTCTGCCCTTGGGAGAGAAGGGCTTGGTCATAAGGTTTCCTCACATTCTGGTCTATATGACTGTTCATTTCTTAATTAAAATTAATCAACTGGCATTTGTCCAGGAGAGCAATTCCTGGCCATATAGATTTCCATGACAGGTTCCCAGCACAGCAGAGCTATTGCTGCACATCCAAGTGTGTGTTATTTCTTTTCTTTAAGGAAATAATTATCACCTCGCATGAAAACTGAGGCATCTGTGAGAATAGAAAAGGGAGCTTCTAGGATTTTTATGATTGCTCTGTTCCTGAAACTATTTTATCTTCCCAGTTTTGTTTATCTTTCTTCTTTCACCTCCTTTAAAAATATTGTCATGTTGGATTTTTGCGCTAGGAGCTGCCTTAAATCATCTCTGGAACAATTGCTTGTTTTAACCCCTGTTTTCTCCACTTAGCAGCTTGGGGGAATTTATTCTCCTATGACACAAGATTAATGCCCACTTCACAGCATGGTGGCAAGAAATAAATAAGATCATGCATAAAGTAATTAACACCACCAAGGCACTCAATATATTTTAGTTGTCATTATCATCATCATCATTAGTAGTATTAAAGGAGGCTATAAATAAGTACCTTCATGCATACCTGTGCACTCTGCCTGAGTGGGTTGGGAAAAACCCCACAGATGAAGTAAGTCTTGAGCAGATATTTAACAAGATAATGAAAGACTCTCCAAGGGGCAAGATGAAGAAGGGACAGCAAGGACAAATTCTCTGAAATCCAAAAATGTGGAAAACCAGGAGTTGTGAGAAGCCCACATGATAGAAGCAGGCAACAGCAAGAAAGCATATATCTCTGTCTTTCTGAGGTTCCTAACCACAGTTTAGCTCATTCCCCTCCCAATCATGTGGCTCTCAAACTATATTGTACACCACGATGATCAGAGAAGCTCATTGTCTTTGAGATGCAGGCCGAGGCCATAGCCTTGGACAGTCAGAATCCTCAATTCAAAAGCGGGCCTGAGGAACCTGCCTTTATAAAGGCCTACTGTGGGGTTTCCTACCCTTAGCCACACACATACCTGCGTACATACCATACATGCACAGACAATCCCCCCTCCCCAAGTCCTTCCTTCTCTCCAACTATCTAGCAGGTCAAAGATCATCCAAGGATCTTTCTGAAGGTTTTCTTTTTTTCAGTCATGTTGCCTTCCCTCAATTTTGCTTCTCCTCCACCCGTTCTGCTGCCAGGGAACTAGGGAATGATGACGCATATGGTGAACACAAATATTATTCTAATCTTATGGCTTCTGTTATTGCAAGTACCTGGGCAAGTTCTTCATGTAAATACCAGGGTGAAGTCAGAATTTGGAAGGTCTAAAAAGAGGTGAGGTGTGATGCCAACATAGGGTTGGCTCCCTCCTCAAACCAAACTCATCTGACCTCTCTCTCTCTCTCTCTCTCTGGCCTCTCTCTTTCTCCCTCCATCTCTCTGCAGAGAATTGTCTGTACTGCTGGCCTGAAGTGGTATCCTCATCCTGCTGTGATTCACTGTGTCAAAGGCTGTGAGGTAAGTTACAAGGACAAACTCCACAGATCCCCAGAGTTCATTCCAAGGTGGTGGTTGTGATATTTATGATGGCCATCATCCATGTTTACTGATTACTATAAATATTCATTTGGCAGCCTTCCTAGAGAGAGATCAGCAAGTCCATTTTGTAGGGGGTAGCACTGAGGCAGGGAGCTATGAGGAAACATATACACAAGCATATAACTATTTGACAGCAGAGTTTGAGAGTCCAAACCAAGCTTTTCTATCTCCAACACCTGGAGCCCACGTAATAGTGGGTCTGCAAAGGATGAAGGGAGTGAGGCTATATTGATTTAGCACCTATAATATGCCAGGAATTTTACCCTCATTACCACATTTAGAACCTCATGAGGTAATTTTTTTTAAATTCCATTGTAATGATGACATCACCTGCAGATGGATTCCTTTTGTCCACAACTTAATTGTTCACTCCTTTCTACCTCAGACATAATTTGAATAACTCCACCGTGGAGTCAAAGTGAACGATCCTTTCTGGCCCTGTAATTTCTCTGTTGAGCCATTCCCTGGGATCAGAGACAAGTTTGGCATCGGGCACTGTGTAGGTTCTTGGGATACAGCTGTGTTCTCAAGGGATGCCCTGCCCCTCCATGGAACTCACAGGCATTTCTCTACATCCCTATACGCTTGCACTCAAAATGCCTTGCGTGTCAAAAGCCTTGTGTGTCAAATCTCTACCGCTCCCCCACCAGAGCCCAGGGAGGAAAATTCAGGTCACTCCCTAGAAAAGTTCATATTGGAATAGAATCCTTAGGATGTCAGAACTAGAAACATTCTTTCAGCTCATCTAACGCTAAGCACTTATTTTACAGATGGGTAAGCAGAGGCTCTGTGGCCTGGTCTAGAATGTGATGGAATGCCAAAAGTGGGAAGGCTTATAATATGTTCTAGTTCTACTTGCAGTTTTATTTTTAATTGGAAAATGAGGACCAGAAAGGGAGTAGAGTACTCACAGTTTTTATAGCATGATAATTACAGAGCCAATGAACCCAGGTCTCCTGACTTCCAGGCTTCTGTCTTTACTCCTCTCCTAGGTAATCCGTTCCCCTTGAGCATAAATGTTTTGACTAATCCCTGGGCCACACATTTCTTTCTGCATGTTGGGCAGGGACCCTGTGTGGCATCTTCTGGGGTACATAGCAATGTAGGGCTTAAGAAAGTCCACTCATTCCCAATACAACCAGGAGTGGCAAGGTCTTAGAGCTGTTGCTTCCTTCCATCTCTCTGGATCAGTCCAGTAGTTTGGGAGAAAAGCAGCTTGAGTTACCTGGGCATTGATTCTGCTAAGCTAGCAGTCTGGGTAACCAGTATGACAGCAAAATTTGATCCTTCTGACTCAGCAGCAAGGCACAGTGACCCTTACCTGTCAGGCTTTGAGCTCTGACAGCGATGCTTATCGCCTTTGCTCTTGCAGGTGGCTTGGCTCTTTTCCTTCCCTCCTTAACATTAGAGCTAATAGTTGAGTCATATGGAGCCAAAGTATGCTCAGAAAAGTGACAAATACTGGGAAAGGGGGGGGTAAGAAAGAAAGAAAGAAAGAGAGAGAGAGAGAGAGAGAAAGAAAGAAAGAAAGAAAGAAACAAAGAAAGAAAGAAAGAAAGAAATGTAAGCTAGAATGTCCTTGTATAAATAAGAGGAATTGGAGAAACATGGGGCTAAATTTGTTCAAATAACTACTCTTTGTACTGTCAATGTAATTTTATATTATCTTCAAATAGTTGCACAAAAGGACTTCAGTTCAGCAGGTCTGTTTATGGGTACCATGCATCATGATCACAGTGCTACCCACAATGTGATTTTGACCAAGTGTTTTTCTTACTCATCTGCAAGGTAGCAATAATAATGCAAACCTTGTTTGGAGAAAAATATGTAAAGGCATGTAACATCCAGTACATCTTCATTCCTTTGTTAGGAAATCTACCAGGAATACACATATTCTTGAACTTAATTCCTAGGAGTTCTAGTCTATGTTAAGAATTCTTGTGCAGTTTACAGTGAGCATCCTACTTTATTGGCATGTATTTTACTATAAATTATCTTTTGATTGCACTGCCAAGAAGAAGGGGATGTAGGATCAAATATTCTTAGCATTTTTTTCAAGTAAAATTAACACTCAAGGTGAATACTCACAAAGACCTGGTTTGGTGGGCGGGCTGGGGAGGGAGAGGTGCTGGGGAGAGGATCTACTCAATGGCCTCGCATTCCCCAGCATCTCTCCACAGAACCACATGTCAGCTGGGAGAAATGTGACAGATAATTATTTATAAATGGTAAAAAAAAATAAATCATGAATCCAAAGGGGGGTTCTGGGATTTGAAGCTAACTAGTCTGACTATCGAGGTTCATGAGAAGATGAGAAATGGCAAACTGCCCATGGTGGCCTCAATGAAGTGTTGGGGCAGCTTCCCTCATGTGTTTCCTGTACCTCTCCCCCTTCACAGCCCTTCATGGGAGACAATTACTGTGATGCCATCAACAACCGAGCCTTCTGCAACTACGATGGTGGGGATTGCTGCACCTCCACGGTGAAGACTAAAAAGGTAGGCCAGGGTGGACAGGAGAGCCTCCCCGCTGCCTCCTGAAAGCTCTCCAGCTTGCTGGCTAGGGGGCACCTCTCTCTGCTGCGTATGGCCCTTCTGATTCTAGCTGGAGTCATTTCAGGGTGAGCCAAGGCTGCCAGGGAAGTTGGGAATGGGACTCATCCTCATGGCAGAGGAAAGCAGCTATTCCCAGCAGCAAAGATGGAGTGGAGGTGGATGAGGTACTAAGCCATGCCATTTTCTCCTCTTGACATTCCAGGAAGCTCAAGCAATAGTTGGCCTTGGATGGCCACAGGGCAGGATGGGGGAAAATTCTGTTTCATGTCCACTATAGGAAGTCCCTTAAGGGGAGAGGAAAAGAGCTGTTCTTTCTCTTAGCCTTCCTCTCTTACCCATTAAACCTGTTTATTTCCCGCCTATCTGTCGCCCCCATCCCCACATCATGGGAAATTTCCTTCTTCTGACCACTTAGGCTGAGTGTTCATCCATGGAGAAGATATGCTTCAAGTTTCCTCCTGAATCACAAGAATTCCATCACTTGCCATGTGAATGCTGAGCTGTGGCTTGGATCTCCATACATATTGTCTCATGTAGACTGCAGAACAGTCTAGCAAAGTAGAAAGCTGAGATTTAGAGAGAAGTGGAATCATTTGCAGCACCAGGTGACTGACCTGTGTATATGAGAGTTAAGATTTCCTACCTCCCAAATGTCACCATGGTATTCATTGAAAGCTTACTCTTGGCCAAGCATACTTTTAACCCTATTACATGTGATTTCATTTCATCAAAAGAGTTGCCCTTTTGTGGTTATATCTTTTTGTCCTCACTTAATACATGATGAACTTGTGACTGGGAAAGGTCAAAGCTACCTAGACAGAGATCCAGGGAATTGTAACCATACATCACCAGTTCTGAAGATCTTGCAATGGCCTTGTGTCTTGGCCAAACCTCTTGACCTCCCTTTGTAGCAAGTGAGCTTCTTGCTTTGTAGGTCTCCTAGAATGTAATTCCTGGCATGAACTTCAGGCCTGGGTGTGAGCTTCAACACCTTTTCTCAGACTTCCTTCTCTCCGACTCTCCACCTAAGTTGCTTTTTGGTCTCCAAGGCTATGGCCTCTGAGTTACTTGACTCAGCCTAGTGTCTGTCTACTAACTCCATTCTTTCTCCCCTGTTTGTGTAGTTACCAGCGGTTCCCCGCATCCGCCTTGCAGAATGACCTGAACCCAGTTGGCAGACAAGAGCAAGACAGTGCAGGAAAGTTGGTCTGACAGGGGTGTCCAATTTCCCACCCAGACACCTGCCTGCAGTGTGAGGCAGACAGGAAGAGGCAGGATTCTGATTCTAAGGATATGAGCTTGTTATTTTCTTGATGGACCCCCAAGCTGCCTCTAATAAAGAGCAGATTTACAGAATTGTTCCCCCCCAATGATTTTCTTTTATAACAATGATGGCTATTATTATTTCCTATTATAACAATAATGATTTCCTTTTATCTACTTGTTATTGGAATTGTTGTTAAGCAAGTCTGTGTTGTGAGTATGAAGCAGGAAAGGGAAATGTCTTTAGCATCCTCAACATATGGAGGCTTTCTAAGGTGTGGTGGCCTGGAACACTAGTTTTAGTCAGTACTAGTGCTAAAGTTGCTAAGATACTGGTTCTGGAAGTTGTGAAGGAAGTACAATATAGTCCTGTCTCATTAGCTCTGTGAGCATGGGCAGGCCAAACTCACCTTGGATTTTCTCTTTTTTTCTCTCCCTTTCTTCTCTTCCTCTCTCTTTTTCTCACTCCTTTCTTTTCTTCTCTCTTCTTTGTTTTCTCTGTTTCTTCTCTCTCCTCTTCCCTCTTTCCATCCTTCTCTCCCTTCTTTCCTCTCTGCAAATCTCTTTCTTTACATTTCCTAGGACACAGTGTTTTGATGTAGCCCAAATTGTCCTGGAACTCCATATATAGGCCAACCTTCTGCATCAGCCTTCCAAGTGCTGGGATTAATAGACATTAACTATCACACCACATATATGTGCATTAAATTCACATCTAAGGTCTCTTCCTATGACTTCTTAGATTAGCTGGTCCCTTATAGTCTGATCTTATGAACAAGTCCAATTTTTCAATCTCAGAATGACAAGTTTCTATCACCATTGTCAGCACCATAACCCCATCACGAAGACAAGACCAGTAATAATAGCACAACCATCATCATGATCACCAACAACCACCACGATCATCATCATCGTTTCTTGAATTCTGGTTGTAGGGTATACTTTGTGCTAAATGCTTTTCTTGAAATATGTGAACTAATTCTATGTGGTAGAACTCATTACCTCCATTTTTGCATAGAGAGAAAGTGAAGCCCAGCAAGGGAAATAAAACTTGCATACCTCCAGTCAACCACAGGGCAAGTCTCTTTCTTATCTAGCCCTGTGCCTTTCTACATTTCATCTATATTTTCCTCCACGTTACCCTCCATTTATCCACACAGACACTTTATCCATATTTAAATACATCACTCTATACATTGATTGCTTAGTGCCCTATCTGTATCTACCCTACCTACCCATATAACAGAAAAGCCCTCCTATTTCATTACTTCAAGCCTCAACTATTGGCTCTATTATTTTCAATGTATACTGTGAAGACCCTAAATTTCAAGAAGGTGAAGTAATTTCTCCAAGGTACCATAGCCAGCAGGTGGTAGATCCAAAGGTTTCTAACATCAACACAGGATGCTTCTTGTTACACACACACATACACACACCAACACCCCACACACAACTACTTCTTGTTGAGTCTGACTCAGATTCCAGCCCTTACCTGTCTCCCAGCCCTAAACAAGTCCCAAGCTAGAAACATGTACATTTGCCTGAACTGCATTCCTGTACTGCTCACACCCACAGATTGAGGTGTTGTCTTGGACAGCTCCCCTAAAGGGAGATAACCTGTGTCTGAGCACCATTTCTGGCCCAGAAGGAAAGGGAAGGAACCTTGGTGTTGAGTCATTGACTTTGCCTTGTTCACATAGCGTCGAGTGGGTACCCAAACCACTTATGGTACAGCCTAGCCTCATGGTGCTAAGAATCTGCAAATGTGCACTAACCACCATGATGTTTGAGCTGTGTGTGGTAGGATTTCATGGGAAGTCATCTGGGAGAGAAGATGCCTGGGCAGAGAATCTGAGAATCGAGCATAGAACTCAGACTATTGGCATATTAGTTGTCTCTCTATGTCCCATTTTCCTCCTCTATGATGAGAAGATACCTGTGGTCTTCCTGTTTTCTGGGAGATGGGACTGAGAAATGCTCACAATCACAGATGCAGATCCAAGACCACCTACTCTTCAGTGACCTGCCATCTTACATGTAGTTGCCTCTAAGGTGTAAAATGAGGATCACAAGAGTAGATGGCTTATTGGCATGGCTGGGGAGTATGAGTGAAACAATGCATATTGAGTTTAGCTCAGTGCCAGGCATACCATAAGGGATAAAGAAGACAAGGGATGAGAAGCCAAGAATATCCATGAGCCCTGACCGGTTGTGAAGGAAGTGCTTTCTTGTGCCTTCCACTCTTAAGTATTTGGAATGGAGGTTAGAATCTTACACTATCAACTTACTGATTGTTGCTGTGGCCCAAGGCAAGTTTGTTTTTGCTTTAAACATTGTGAAGCCTCAGTTTTCTTGCTTTCGAGGTGAGCAGCTAGTAATGATAGCCTTCCAAGTTTGGAATGTCATCTAGCATGTGGAAGGCTTGTGCACATGGTAGTGCATGACGAGCTTGTGCACACGGTAGTGTTCACAGCTTGAACCTTCTTGAACAAACATCCTCAAGCTTCTTCTAAATCAAAGCATGTACTCCCCAATCTTGTCTCCTAGCTTTAAAACCACAGTCAGTAAGGGATATACTGGGTACCTCACAAAGAAGCAAAACAAAGGTACACACATCTCTATGTATCTCCTCTGTTTTGAGCAAAATAGGAGCTTTTTTGGAGCCAAGCTGATTGCATTGACTCATCACCACATCCAGTGAGGCCTTTGTGAGGAAATCTATCTCACAGATAGGGGTTGGGTCCACAGTGTGGTAGAGACTTGCTGAGATTCCTGCAATGTGTAATGTGCAGACTACAACTGAATTCCAGACTTTTAGCTAGTGCTCAGTAAACACAGCTAACACCTACAGGCATATGATGGAGACTAGAAGTCAGTATATTTGCCATCTAGACTTTACTATATTCAGATTGGGTTATCTTCTTTTAGTTCCCAAATGTGTTTCCTTTGGGAAACGCTAAACCTTCCTGAGTTTCTCTGAGGAGGATAATGATTGTAACACGATTCCATTGTAACCAGAGCGGCCAGATTAGCATGAGAAGCTAACTAATCCCAGGACTTGCAAGCTAATGTTTTAGAAAAGTTAATACATTTTAGAAGGGAGAAAGTGGGGAAAGTCTTATGTTTATAACTCTTAGGATGGTGGGAGGTAGTTCAGTCACAGATCACTTACCTATCAGGCATTTACTAATTCTCTGGGTTTGATACCCAGTAAAACACACACACACACACACACACACACACACACACACACACACATCACACAAACATACATGCACATACCCCTAATTCTTTTCTGAGCCTATCTTTGCCTTCTATCTTTCCCCTACTGAGAAGGATTTCAGGCAGATGAAAAGTTAAGAGGCCATAAATAACTGCAATTCTTATTATACATTTAGGAAAACTGAAGTCCAAAGATGGGAAAAAACTTGTATAAAGTCACCCAGTCAGTGAGTGCAAGAACAGAGACTCCTTGACTCATATTGTCTGTCTGTTCATACATTCATCATTTCATCCAATTCATGGCCCTACTGACTGCTGTGACTTGGTAGAGATAAAGTTCAACAATAGATCTGGTCCCTTCCGAAACTATGTTGGCATGCATGTGATTCAGTATGCCTTTCATGAGAAGGGTGTAAAAATAGGGTGCACTGATATGGTATCAAGGTGATGGTACCAACTTTCTCCAGGCTAATGAGGAAAGAGGTGATACTTGAGATAAGACCTAAAGAATGAAAAAGAGCTGGCCAAAGAAGAGCAGCTAGAACAGAAGATGCATGGGTAAAGATTTTAAAATAAGAATTCATTTGGAATACTTTAGGAACAGGAAAATTAACAAACAAGCCACACAGAGAATTGGTATGTGGGAGTGGATGATACAAAGCAAAATATGGGAATTGCATAGAGATCAGATGATACAAAACCTTGAACTTGTGGAGTCCCTTCTAAGTAACAGAATTTGCTGAATATTTGCCTGTGTGAGATGGAAATGTGAAGTTATCTTAAAGGGTCTTAGAGCTGAAGAGGAAAGAATTGAGTTACAGAGTTACACAAAAGATGATATTGGTAACTAGATCTTTGTAATAGTAGAATAAGACAAGAGCAGAAGGGGACAGATAAAGGGATGGGTGACTTGAGGACAAAGAGGTTGTCCAAGTATGGGAGCTGGGCTAAAAGGGGTAATAGGCAGGGAAGATGGTGAAATATGAGTCAGACAGAGAGATCTGATTCAGCACATATGTATTCAGCCTTGAGCATCTCCTACGTGTTGGACCATGTGCAGAAGCTTCTGTGTATTCCTATTTTGTTCAGTCCTCAGAACCATATGAAAGATAACATTTTCTTTTGAATTTCCCATTTATAGATGTGGAAACTCAGGGCCATAGCCGTGAAGAAAATTTCCCAGAATTATTCACTCAGTCTGAGGCAAGTGGGATCCAGCCCAGGATGTCATTCTCCACATGTTAACTTAGCTAGGAGAGTTTGACTTGGCTCTGACCTCAGTTTCCCCATTTGGGCTGTAGGCTTTTTCTTTCTATGCATCTTCCAATTATAACACTCTTTATTTTCCTTGAAAATGAAGAGGTTGTGGAGAAACAACTCTAGAGGTTATGGAAGAATACTCTAGAGTCTAGATTCTAACCCTTGTAGATTTATTCTGCAAAATCTTGGCAGCTGGAGAGTAAATGTCCTGAACTGAGAAGAGCAAGTAGTTGTAAACAAAAAGAGAAGCATTGCATGGGAAAAGAAACAAAACTGCTTAGCATTGCATATTAATTCAAATGGAAAAAAGAAGCAAAGTGGGTTCTTAGATGTAAAAAAAAATGGAGAAGTGGATAGAAATATGTTCTTTCTGTGACCTAAGACTCAAGGAAAGCAAAAACCAATAAGACTGGTATGGTCTCTGCATCAGTAGCTATTGAATTGAGGAGAAGAGGAGAGGAAAAGATAATGAGAGACAGAGAAGAACAGAAACAGAGAGACACAGGGAGACTGTGTGTAGATGTTTGTGTGCATGTATATATTTACATATAGAATTTGGCACTTAGATTATGTCAAACACAGTACCAGGTGTTTTTATGAGCTATTTCATATATCCCTCACTGCAGTGTCAGAAAGTATAGGTCTATGCTTTCATTGCTCTCATTTAATGAATGAGTTTGAAAAGGTTCCGAAAATTGTTGATGTTCAAGGTCACCCTTCAAGTTGGTGGAAAAACCAGGCTTTATACTAAAATCTTCCTGACATTTAGCCCTACATCTTAAATCATTGCAAGATGTTAGGATAGTGAGAGGCTGGGATCTAGGGTTGGGAAAAGAAAGAGAGAAGAGAAAAGGTAGACAAAGAGGTAGGGCAAAGAAGCAGAGGAAAGTTAAAAGAACCAGATACAGAGAATGAATTCACAAATACATGAGAGTGAGGGAGAGAAACAGAGATGCTCTCAGAGACTCTGTGATCACTTGGAGACCCTGTCCAGGCAGGAGGCAAATGAGGTCATTAAATCCATCTGCGCAGATGGGGGACCCTCTGGGGAATGTTACAAGCAAATGTCATGATGCAATCAGGTGAAATGGACTTGCGTTAGTTTAGGCTGGGAATCAGCAGGGACTGCCCTGCACTGTTTGAGAAGACGGATCATTTGCTGTAAGGAGAAGACACTTGTTCAGTGGAGTTTTTCCTATCATTTTCTAGAAAGGCAAGCCAGCCCAGGGTCACAGAGTACATGGAAGGATGAACTCAGAAATAGCACAATTCTCTTTCTCTTTCTCTCCCTCTCCCTCCTTCTTGTCTTCCCCTTCATTCCTCCCCTTTTTCCTTCCCTCCTCTTTCTCCATCCTTTCTTCTTCTTCTCCCCCTCCCTCAGTCTAAGATGTTTCTGAGGCTCTTCAGAAACTTTTGTTCAAAATCTATTTGTACATTTCAGATTCAATGGATGGTAATTTCAGTTTGCCTGAGGCAAGGTTTTAAATCATTGTCTCTCCCAAACCCAAACAACTCTATATGTACAGAAAAAAGCTGTTTTCTTAAAAGATGCTTTCCTCTATTGTAGTTGATCATCATGATAGACCTATATGTGAGGTAATTCATGGTAGAATTCATCAACTTGGTAGAGTATGTTGCAATTATTCACCCAGTTTTATCCAGCCCTTACTGTGTCCAGTCTTTTTTTTTTATTTTTTATTAAAACCAGTCCTCTCTGAGTTTCAGAGAAAAGCAGCTTATCTTTAAGTAAGGAATGTTTCACATCTTACTTGGTGGTAATGCCTATTCCTCTCTCAGCCTCATTTTCCTTTACAATAAAGTGATGTTTGTAGTAGAGCTTTTTTTTTTTTTTTTAACAGAGTTGTAAAAGGGACTCAATAGTTTCTGACCTGGAAATTATTCTGCATACTGCCCCACAGACCCATAATAAATGCCCAAGTGGAAGAAACTGGCATGACAAGTACTTGATAAAAGTGACCACCATGCTAACAAGAAGCAGCGCTTGAACTGACCTTGAATTTCCTGTTTCACAAATCCAGGGCTTAACCTCTCTCCCCCATGTTTTGTCACACTAAGTCCTGTGTTAGATCAAACTTCCTGATACACAACTTCTGTTTATCTCCCCACAGGTCACCCCCTTCCCTATGTCCTGTGACCTACAAGAAGACTGTGCTTGTCGGGACCCTGAGGCCCAAGAACATAGCAGAAAAGACCTCCGGGGATACAGTCATGGCTAAAGCAGGACAAGAAGTGTGAAAGAATTCCCAGTGCCAGGACCCACATCCCTTTGGTATTGTTTTCACAGTCCGCTGCTCAATGGAATGGCCTCTCCACACCAGGGATCCTTAGCAACCCAACCAGTCTGCCTTTAATTTCACCCAGGAAGGACTCACAGTGGGGCGAATGAACCAAGTCGCATCCTGTTGAATGATGGAATGGAATTCCATCCCAACGTTCTGAAATGGATTGCCATAGGCAATGCAAATCTGCGTGCAGTTCCAGAGCCTCCTCCAAATGCTAATCATTTGTCACATGACCATAGCCAAAAACACCTTCTGTATCTAGGAGTATGCACATCTGTGGTTAGTACACAATGTGCATGCATACACACCCATACAAACATCTGTGTGAGAGAAGTTCTGGAGACTGAGGAGAGAAAGGAGAGGGAGAGAGAAAGAGAGAGACTGGGAGAAACTCAACCTTTCCTTTCCTAAGCTCCAAACCAACACTGTCCTTGGGAGAAAGAGAGTTACAGAAACTGCTAGGACCAAGATAGCTCACACTCTGAGGCTTAGAATAAGCAGGGCATGCACGATTGTGTGTCTTTGGGGATTGGAAGTGAAGTGGCCTGTGTTCACCAAATTTCTAGAGAACTAGGGCCCAGGGAGAAGTAAAGATTACAAGGTTTGCAATGCTCCCAGATTCTTCTGCTGCCATGGGGTTTTTACCCCAACACCAGGGTTCAAGGCCAAGCTGGAAATGGTTAGGACTACAAATTCAAGGTATTATATCAGACCCCTGCTGGAGACTTGAGGTCATAATATCCCTCCACATCTCACCATTCCCCAGATCTAGCCTTGGGACTACATTTGCTGCTACTTTTTCTGCTGCTCTATCATATACATTGGGTAACTCCAAGATGGTAGAACTAGGTTAGGAGAACTTCCACACAACCAAACAGTCTGCCTTAAAAGTGACCCACATTTCCCCATAGTTCCTCATTTCTTACCCTTCCGGCAAGACTACCACCCTCATGGGTCCACCTGGTAAAAAGTTAAATCCCCACCCTGAATGGGCTTCTCATCCTGGAAGGGAGTGGCGGAAACTCAGATGCTGGAGTCCTTCCTGAGAGTCCAGAATGTCTAAGCCAGTGTTAGATTTTTGTAATCAAGTGGAACAGTGTTAATGTTTCAGCCATGCAGGGGCTGTTGGAAATGTCCAAACTCTTGGGTTGTTATCCCTATCCTAGTCTTCCTAGTCCTCTAGGCTAGAATGGGTAGTAAGATCCTCACTGTTGCTCACAGTAGATATAATTCTAGAACAGAGTATCATTTTGGATAGGATCAGTGTAGACTTCGTTCCAGAAGGTAGCCCAGAGATCACAGCCTCAGTATCCAACATAGTCTTATATTTTCCATGGAATGTTTTATCCACCAGTACTCTTTTCCATACCTGTGGCCAGAAAACCCTTCCTTCTCCAAAGGTTAAGAAATAATCAGTCAATTGCTTATGGAAGCCCCCAACTTTTTAGAACCTCTTTGCCACTTTTCAATCAATTACATGTTCACTCCCTTTGAATTGAATATGAGAAGGGATTAATACAAAATGAGGTGAAGAGAGTGGTTCGATATATTTTCTGAAACCTAGAACTGGGAAGTAAAAAGATAGGGATAGTCTAAATGAATTATATCATATAAATATGTCCCTAACTCAAGTGATCTCAAGTCCAGTGAAGACAACCAGCAAAAGTGAAATCTAGCCGAGTGCCAGTGGCTCAAGCCTGTAACCCTGGCTACTCAGGAGGCTGAGATCTGAGGATCACAATTCAAAGTCAGTCCAGGCAAGAAAAACCATGAAATTCTTATCTCCAATTAACCACCAGAAAACCAGAAGTGGCACTGTGGCTCAAGTGGTAGAGCAGTCACCTTGAGCTGAAGAGCTTAGGGAGGGACAGTGCCCAGGCCCAGATTCAAGCCCCATGACTGACCAAAAAAAAAAAAAAAAGTGAAATCTAGGCCCATGTTTAGCTTCTCCTAATTCCTGCATCTGGAACAGGTATCACTAATCCATCACAGCCCTTTCTCTTACTGGGACCAAAAATACCTTCTGAAACTGTCTTCATATATCATTCCCAACAGCTTTTTCCTGCTGATCACTAACACTTGAAAAGGCATCTCTTGGTCATCTGTGGTCTGCTATATTAAGAAATCTATCAGGTGCTTTTCGCACAGATGCCCATACATAAGGATGCTACTTAGGGTACGTGACTTTTCCCATGTAACAGACTCTGAAATTGGCTTCTGAAAAATGGAAGGGTGCCCACCATCATGAAGACCAAACTCAAATCCTTCATGGCTCCTTCTTATAAAGCCACGTCACATGTATAGCCAGAGATTTTTATTTTTCCTGTAATCACTGGGGCCAGTCTTCAACAAAGCAAACAAAGAAACAAAAAATACTGAGAGAGAACCATATTAGGAAAGTAGACCCTGTTGTGTAAAGTTTATCCCTCATCTTAGAACTCCTTCTCTTAAGCTCCCTCTGTTGCCCAAGGTGAATTATCCAGCTGTGTGGTGTTTAGCTCAGAAGATAGAAGCTAAGGACAGCAACAGGACTGCATTCCTGGTGGTTTAATATTAATATCCAGATGACAGGCATGGCATCACAACTTCCCCTAAGTCAGTGGTCATCCCATTTCTGCCTGCACTCTATTATCCTTCACAATACCCTCCAGTTAAGCAAAAGTTTCTGGAGGCTGACATCTTTGTTCAGATTGGCAAACTGAATTGAGCTAATCTGGGTAAAACCCATTCAGTCTCTTTTTAAAATTATCATTCAATCCAGTTATTAACAAATTCAATACCTGCCAAAGACAGTAGGCAAAAGTTGCTACATGACTGGTGGCCAATCACATGCCCATGTGAAAAGTATAATTCACAGGCTCCCCTCCAGCCGGAGAGGAGCAGGGTCAGTTCTGTCCATGCAATGTACCAATTCCCAATTCTCCCCTCCCCTGCGGGGGGTTGGGGGAGGGATAAACTCCTCATTACAGCCTTTCAGTCATCTGTTAGCACGATGAGGTACTACTGAGGATGTGGTCACGTACTGCTGTGTATTCGCAGGCCAAGGACTGTAAAACACCTGGGGGTTCTGCATTGGAAAAAGTATTAGGCTGTTCACAGCAAGGAGGCAAAGATGAGGGGACAGTTCTCTGAGACCTATCCTAGGAAGCCTTTCGAAGCCACAACCTAACTGCCTGTCCAGGGGACTTATATTATCCCCAGATTCTGTGCCAACAACCTTGTAGGGAATCCAGTCCTCAGGTAGTCAGTTTGGGTGGTTGAATTGAGGTGTAAAGGAAGGGAGAGATTAACGGTCATAAATAGCAGGCCTTTGGAGACGGAGGGTATCAGCTGCTGCTCTTGGCTTCAGTATACTGGGTCACTGCCGAGACAGTTCTCTTGGTCTTTTTCCCACCTTGGCTGTTGCTTAAATGCTATTTGTTGAAAATAATTTCGTAAGACAGATTTCAGCTACCTCCCTTCCAGGTTCAATTTAACTTGGTTGTAACTGTCAGTTTGTTATAGGTCTTACCTGTGTTGGTGGTTTTTTCTTTTTTTTCCTTAAAAAGCAAGAAATAGAAAAGAAAGAGAGAGAGAGATAGAAAAGGAAAGAAAAAAGGAAAGGAAGAGACAAAGAAACAAAAAGGAAAGAAAGAAACCCTAATGTCATACTAATCATTTTGGGGTTTTGTTTTGTGTTGTTTTCTTTTCTTTTTTAATTTCTGGAACTACTTCAAGTGAGAAAATAAATAGAAGAAGTCAATGGAGACAAAAAAGTGTACAGATAGAAATTAATAGAAGACAGCAAACTTAAAAAGGAGATACAAATGCATGATTACACAGAATAAAAACCTTATTTTTATGTTTCCTAAAGGAAATTGTTTATTATACAGACTGATTAGATAGATAGAGCATAAAAAAATTCCCTAGAAGCTATAGAGTGGTATTTCGTAACACTGTTATTTTCTATACATTGGGGGTAGATCCAGGAAATATGGCATTCCTCTTGTTTTGTTCTTGTTGTGGGGGGGTCATTTTGTTCATTTGCTTGGTGGCTATTGGTGGGAATGGGGAGTGGGGAGGGCTTGACGTTGGTTTTACCAAATGTTAATGGAACCTATTGTGATGTTGGTGGTTTGCTTTTCAAAATACAAGACATTTGCATTGCCCAGTATAGCACTGGACTTCAGAGTCTGTGCTCAGAACTACACCTCACAGCCCAGTCTCCTCAAAAGCTGCTGCATGTCCAGACAGGTCACTCCAGTGAGTCTTTGGAAAAGCAAGACAAATCCAGTATACAACAGGCATGAAAAAGAGAGGCAAAATAGCAAATGAATAAAAAGCCCATTCTTGTAATTTATTTAAGCTTTGCCCAATTCCTCCTACTCATTTGCTTGTAAGAGAAATGTATAATCAGCAAGAGAGGAATTAAGTCTGTGGGATATAATTCTACAACTCTTCACTCCAGGCAGTCATATGTTCAGTGATTTTTGAATATGTTATCTTGTGTCTCTACATTTGCCTCCATTTCTCTAGCTGCAAAATGGGGATACTTAGTACTTACCTACCTCACCGCGGGAGGGCAGAGGTTTGTGAGGCCCTGAAGTTTAAATGGGCTGTGACCGTTAGTGAAGAAGACTGATAGGAATGCCACCGGTTAGTCTTCAAGCATGTGTGGGCCCATTGGCCTTTTAAGAAAGATGAAGAGTGTGTGTTTGATATTTCTGAACATAAAGCTGGAAATCCTGGGCTAGAGTCCACATTAAGAGAGAGCACTGGGGAATAGTTCACTCCATTTTAGGTAAATTTTGAGTCCCCACCTCACCCCACCCACACCCCTTCTGCTGACCTTTACCTGTTCAATGATTTGATTAAAAGCCAATTACTTCTTACAGTGTAAAAGTCAGTGTACTGTCATCTATTCAAGACTTCCAGACCATTACCTAACTCACCGAGGAAGGGAGCTGCTAGTGTCTCTTCTTTAGCAAACTACTCACTTTCTCAGACTTAACTGTCCACATCAAGTGTTTCATTCAAAGGAGACAACTGTGTTCTGAGTGCCAACAACTCGGGACCTCGTAACTACACACCAGCAGTCAGTGAGGAGAATTATTTCGGACAATTATTGAGTTGCTTTCTTGGGTCTCTATAATCAATAACCTGTCTGCAGATATCTATCTATATAAAGATATTATATATAAATATAAATTTACATATATATGCACATGTATATATAGTTGTACATATATGTGTGTATATATATACTTAAATGTAATATTTACAAAATAAAACTGTGATCTCGTTAGAGAAAAATGTATTCATATTACAAACTGCTCTTCCATATTTATGTATCCTATTATGCC